ACAGTTTGTTGCTTAAATACTATTGAGTGACTATTGGAATCGCATCTTAGTTTTTTGCAAATATGGAGTTTTTTTGTTTTTTCGAGGGAAACTTTCGCACCTGATCTTAACGTCCAGTCATCAATTTCTTTCAGAACATTTTCTAAAATTTTATTTGATTCGCATTTATTTCGTTAAACGCGATTGAAGAGAGGGGTACTGAAAGCGTCTGCAGTGGTTAACAAGTTTGTGTTTCTGTATTATTTCGTTAAGCGCGATTGAAGAGAGGAGTACTGAAAGCGGTGATCCTTGAGGAATACCATCCGTTAAAGGATATAATTTGGAGTAAATACCGTTTACCCTGACCCGGATTTTTCTATTGTGGAAGAATGATTTTACAAAATTGAAGATCTTGGGTCCCCATTGATGTAGTTTCTCTAGAATGACGTGAGCTCCTATCCTATCAAACGCTTTTTCGAAGTATGTGACAATAACCACATTTGTGGGCTGATAGCGTTTTTGCCATATTGTAGTCGATGTGTAGCAGGGCCTCTGTTCATCCTCTTCCTGTTCGAAAACCGACCTGGTTGGATGAGATAAGCCTTTTTGACTCTGTAAACCAGACTAGACGTGTCGCGACTATCTTCTCTACTAACTTCGACAGGCACGAAAATAGCGAGATGAGTCTGTAGGATTCGGGAAGGTTGAGGTCCTTCTGAGGTTTTCGGAAAGGGGGCCGCTTTCCAGTTTTGGGGAATAGTGCCTGATTGAAAAATATTATTGTACTGCGCCAAAAGTCTCGTTTTCGTGGATGAGTCCAGAGTTTAATCATGCTGTACGAGATGCGATCAAAACCTGGTGTTTTCCCTTTAGTACTTTTTAGGGTGTAGTACATTTCGTCCATGGAGATATGCGTTTCCATTTTCATTGCTGTTGGATTGGTTGCTTGGTTAGGCGCTATATTTGCTTTTTTAGCTTGGTTGAATTGATCAGAAAAATGGTTGTCGTTCGAGCATTGAGACCAGTTGTGAGCAAAGAGGTGGGCTATTCTTTGCGTTTCAGTGGTTGTCCCTTGTGGTGTTTGAAATGCTGCTATTGACGTTTGTGTATATCGATTTGTTAGCCTCTGCCCTTTGTTATATAATTCTTGCGATGATGAGCTTATGTTTATGCTTTTTGCAAAATCTTCGAAGCTAGATTTTCTGGTTTGCTTCATTTCTCTGCGGGAGATAGCATTGCGCTTTTTGTATTCGAGAAGATTCTGTTCTGTTGGAGATTTACGAAAAAGATGCCATGCTGTCATTTGTTGGTTGCGGAGCTCTGCTAAAGTCTGGTTCCACCAGGGGACATGGGTTCTGGTGTTCTGAGAGGATTGTGGGATCCCAAGGTTGGCTGCTACACGAATTGCCTTTGTAATATTATTTGCTTCCTGATTAATGGTTACAGAAATCGGTCTCTCCGAAAGTTCCTCTTCGGCGGATTGACTGAATTTGAATTGAGTAGAAATTTACTTTCGGTATGGTGTTTTTTGGTGTTGTGACCAAATCGGGAAATGGTCACTGTGATAGAGATCCTCTGAGATATTCCATTTGATAATCGGAAGCAAGCTAGCTGAGCAGCATGTGAGGTCTATTAGGGTGAGCGTCCCTTGAGTTGAAAGGTGGGTTGGTCTACCGTCGTTTATTAAGAAAAGGTTCGTTTGGTTAAATATGTGTTCTATTAGTTTGCCTCGATTGTTGTATGGTTGGGGAACCCCACAATGGATTCCAGCCGTTAAAATCTCCTAAGTCGATTAATGGTGTTTGTATTGAGGCTAGTATATCAATTATTTGTTTGGTAGGAAGCTGTAAGTTCGATGGAAAATAGCATGATATTATTGTAAATTTTATATTAAGGTTGACCTTGATCGCTACTATTTGTAGGACGGCGTTTAATGAAATTGTTTTGTGGGGAATATTAGCTTTATCAAGCACCCTTATTCCTTGTTTGGCTGTTGTAATTGTTGACGAGTTTTGAAAATAGCTTAAGTATCCTTTTGGGGTAAATGGGTTAAAGTTGTGTTTGCAATGTGTTTCTGGCGGTGAAATGAACGCTGTACTTTTTTCTTTTATCAATAGCTTTAATTCAGATATGTTATTAAAGAAACCTTTTATGTTCCATTGCCATTATTTTAAAATCCTTAATCGTTGGTATGTATGTATGTATGTATATTGTTGATTTATTGTAAATTATTATATACACCCCTATTGCGAGTGTCGACTGGCAGTAGATAAACGACTATTAAGCGATTGTCGATTATCGATGCTATTGTGAGTGTCGCTTAGTCGCTCAATGAGCGACTGTGAATAGTTTTTAATCGCTTATCCTTCTACTGCTATTTTTGAGTCGATAGAGTTTGCGTGAGCAAAATTTTCGTGATATAAATAAATAAATAATGGATAAAAAGTAAGTTATTTTCATCAAAAGCTGTACAAAAATTTACTATACATATGTGTGTGAATTGTAGATCAAAAGTGGTTAGCAATAAGAAGCAACTTGGGCGGCTGGTCCAGCTGATGCAGGACAATCAGGACTTGGCGAAAGGAATTTGCGGCAGGACTCGGGGAAAGCCCAGATGGGAAGCCATAGCCGTAGAGCTGAACAGCTTGGGACCACCACTACGTTCATGGGAAAAGTGGTTAAAGGTGAAATAAATACATATTAAGCTTTAATTAATAAAATAATCGGGTATATTTTATGTAGGTTTGGACAGATTTGAAGAGCAAGACGAAAAAGAAAATTTCGGAAAACAGGGCAGAATTTCGTGCAACTGGTGGGGGCCCAAACAGTCTGCACATTCTCACGCCACTGGAGGAAGGGGTGGCAAGTTTTTTAAGGTACGATATTTGTTCGGACCCACCAGGCCAAGAAATCGGACACAATGCAATTGTTCAATCGGAGGAAATCCCAGAGGAGCAGGTAGCTTGTGGTAGTGATTACATCACAATATCTGGGGAAGATTGTGAAATGCGTGAAACCCAGGAGACCGAAATTTCTGAAGTGCATCGTACTCCAAGAAGAAGAAAAGTTGCCAATTCTACTGCAAATGATAGGAGAATTGCATTACTAGAAACGCAAGTAAACAACCAAGCGAAGCATTTTGAGGCAATGGAAGAAAGTGCAAATAATGTAAAAAAGAGCCTGAAGTACATAGAAAGTTCTGTAAGGAAGTCATACAACCTTCAAAAAGAAAATCTGGCTATAGAGAAAGAGAAACTAGAATTAAAAAAACAAAAACGAATGCTTCTTAAAGAAGAGGTTGGAAATAAAAACGGACATAGAAGTGAGAAACTCAAACTAAATGTTCAACTATTGCAGCTGCAAAAAGAAAACGTTTCCTCGTTAATTTTGTAAGTATACATTTAAGACTTAAAGGCAAACTTTGTGGTTTTAAATTTAACTGAAACGGTAACATACAGTCTTTTGCAAAAGTATGCAACAAAATTCTACTTAATTTATTTTGTCATCTCATTTTACTGATTTATTTTTAATTATTTTTTTATAAAACTAAAGTTCTTTTTATATCAGGTTTTTGCCTATCATAAACTATACAAATCAAAGTTTCTAACTTTGTACAAACCTCACAACATTTGATATGAAAAAATATTAAAATTTCCAAATTTTTACCAGAATTTTTAATAACTTTTTGGGTATTCAGTTTTGAAGACACTTCAAACTTGCACTTTATTATTGTAAAATTAAATATGCTACAAAACTGAATACCTAAATAGTTTTTAAAAAGCGTGATAAAAGGTTTGAAATTTTGATGAACTTTTTTTAAATTTATTAAATGTTATGAGTTTTGTACAAAGTTGCAAACTTTTATTTGTATAGTTTATCATATAGAACAGCCTGATATAAAATGAACTTTAGTTTTATAAAAAATAATTAAAAATAAATCAGTAAAAGTAGATGGCAAAATAAATTAAGTACAATTTCGTTGCTTACTTTTGCACAACAAGGTATTTTATCATTTCAACTAAATTTAAAAAAAAATACCACGTTTGGGTTCAATTTTTAAGTAATACTTACTATAGTTTTTAAAAAGTATTTTGCAATGACTGAATTTAATTGAAAATGAAATGATTTTTTATAATGTGAAATATTATTTACTATTTACTTTAAATATATATGTACTTAAAAGTACTTAGCTTTTACCTTAAAAATGAAAATACATATGTATGAATGTATATGAATGTATTTATGTGTTGGACTTATACTAATATGTGAGCATATCAGGGGTGAAAAATATATGTTATATATAATATACTTATTTATAATACAGGACGGATATATGTATATGTATGGTGCCGGACGAATTAATAGGGTCGCGACGTTTTGACAAGTTTTGACCATTTTGTTTTGTTTGTTTAATGTTTATTAACTTTTTATAAAATTATAGTATATATGTAACAAAAACTATATAAATCCTAATTTCAGACTTTGTGCAAAAATTATAAAAACTGCAGTTACATCGAAATTTCAAACTTTATCAGAAATAAAAAAAGTATTTGAATTAATTTTTGGAGCCCATTAAATCTTAGTATAATAAACGGCAATTTTTAAGTTTAAACTTGCACGTTATTGTATTAAAATTTAATGGGCTACAAAAAATAATTTAAATACTATTTTTATTTCTGATAAAGTTTGAAATTTCGGTGAAACTGCAGTTTTTATAATTTTTTCACAAAGTCTGATATTAGGATTTATATAGTTTTTGTTACATATATACTATACTTTTATAAAAAGTTAATTAACATTAAACAAACAAAAAAAATAGTCAAAACTTGTCAAAATGTCGCGATCCTATTAATTTGTACACATGAGGCTATTTTTTTTAACAATGGCCAAATTTAGTTGAAAATGAAGATTTTTTGTTTATGTTTACGATTATTCTTTAAGTAGTAGGTATTTATCAATATTCAATTTTTAACATTTTATGTTACATTAATTTTCATTTAAACTTGAATTACCTGAATTATAACAAATTAATAAAACTTAAAAAAACTGAGCTTCGATGAATACGTACAAACAATAAAAAAAAGATTTAAGACTGAAGTCGCATATGTTGTAAAATGTTATTTCTTATTTCTACGGCTTCTTGATTTATATGGCCAGCTTGAACATTGATGTCACCTTGATCTTCATAGTTTTCTGGGTCTTGGCTATCATAAATTTCTTCATTCGAAGACTCAACATTGTAAAAAATGCATATATTGTGCAGTGCTACGCAAACGTTTATTATTTGGGTGGCTTTCTTTGGCTCATAGTGCAGCGCACGAGCACCTAACAAACACCTAAACCGATTTTTCAACACCCCAATCGTGCATTCCACAATATTCCTAGCTTTTGCATGCCTTTTGTGAAATATACCCTGCACTGATCCGTCATCGGTGTTCCGGAATGGAGTAAGCATATACGGCTGTAAAGCATATCCTGCGTCACCTGAAAATTATATACAAATTTGTGTAAAAGCCATCGAAATGTCCAATAAATTTGATAATAACAAACCTAATAATAAATTCCTTTCACCCCTGCGGTAGTCATCTTCTAATTGGGGTTTTAAAGAAGACATATTGAAAACCGTAGCATCGTGCGTTGCCCCAGGATATCTTGCATTGATGTAACGAATCCTCAGAGCGTTATCACAGACCTGTAAATGAACATATTTAAATAATACTTTCATTTAATATTTTACCTAAATACTTACTATCATCGCGTTTAAGCTAAAGTACCCTTGCCGGTTATAGTAAAGGTGTTGAAGATCCTTTTTTGGGGCAACGATTTTAATATGTGTCCCATCAATGCAACCTATTACGCCTGGAATTCCACTTTTCTCAAAAAAATACATTTTCGCCTTTCGTTTCTCTTCATCAGTGTAATTCATTTTTATCCAATTTTTACACACGTGCTCTTCCAAAGCATGAAACATTTCTGTCAAAACCAGGGAAACAGTAGATTGGCCAGGTCCAATATTACTATCGTGGGGTATCGAGGTTTTTCTTACACCAGCTTGTAGTTTGCTTTCCTATGTTTCAAGCAAATATGTAAATGCAGCTTTCGGCAAACGATAATTTTTCAAAAACCTGTAAAGTTGGTTGTTTAGTAAATTTTCTTGGGAAATGTTTAGTTATTTGTACTATGATTTTGTGGCGTGCAGGGAAGGGGAAGGGGTGTGGCACCTAAAACCCCATCCATTAGAAAGAGCACAATCCAAACTATAAGACAAGTCATCCTTCCCCTCTCTGACCCTTCTACAGACCCCGGGCCCATTTCAAAATGGTGTAAAATTAGCACTTCGACATAGAAAATGTAAACTCACTGACCACAGTATTTTTGCGCAGAACTTCTTTCTACTTAGGCGTTTACGGATTATAACCTTTAATAAGTAGAATTCTCCTTTCTGTCTTCCCAGAGAAGAGGGGCGGAAGCTCCGCTTCTATTGTGAAAGATATTCAACATTTCTTGTGCATATAACTCCGGCTACGCCATCCACAGTGTTTTTGCGCAGAACTAACATCAAAATTTACGAAAAACTGCATAATTTGTTAATATACTAATACTCAGAAATTTGAAATCTTTATTTTAAATTACAGTTTAATTCTTTCACTACACGCGTATGTTAAAGTTTTTAAATCGGGTCACGCGTTTGGACACAAATACTAAAAATCATTGTACAAATAACTTAACTGTACCGAATTGCTTAAACTAGTTGCGTTCCAGATGCTTCACGATTTGCGGGTTTTTACAGGAAGTTGTTCCACGGGGCCACCTTCCATAAGGTTTATTAATGGCGAAAATAGCTTTTCCTGCAAATCGTGAAGCATCTGGAACGCAACTGCTATTCATAAAATTCACATATGTATGTACATACACTTCATCATCCAACTCCAAGGGATTCGACGAATCTCGCAATTTCCTTCTTGCTTTAGCCAACTCTACTAATCTATTGCCTTTCACATCATCTTCCTCATCACTAAACCATATTTCAACTGTATCCATTTTTTTAATTTTATAATAAAGCAATTGTTTTAAAAATGATATAAATGAAACACTAAAGAAACAAATGTAAGCAAACAAACAGCTATTTACAATTTGGTCAACCATTCACAATAGTACAAATTTTTATCGATCAAGTTACACAATAGCAAAATAAAAGATGATCGACTCAATCGACAAATTTCTATTCTACTGCCAGTCGACACTCGCAATAGGGGTGATATAATATAGTATATTAGTATTTTATAGTTTGGGTCCTTCGTCCGAGTCGGATATTGGCATGAAATATTCGTGTTTGTTTAATAATTCTTGAGTAAGTGTAGTGCATGGTGAGATAGTAGATATGTTGTCAAGTATAGTTTTGGTTTGCTGGGATATGTGATGAGATGAATTGTGTTGTTGGTTATAGCTTACGTTTTGTGTGAGTGATTTTGTTGTTGTTTTGTTACTAGTATTGTTTAAGCTATTGCTTGGAGTGGTTTTTTGTAGTTTTGGTAGATTAGTTTTTATTGGCGGAGATGTAGCCGGACGTTTAGCCATGGATGTGCTTGTTGGGGTTGGTGTCTTGTTGATGGATGTTGATTTACCTGTTATGGGGACGTTTGCATAGGTGCTTTTGGAGTTTGCATTTAGAGTGTTATTTTCATTATATTTGCGTCGTGCTCTCCCATGGAGCATTTCGCGACAGTTTTAATTTTTGGGATTTCCTGAGTTTGCCTAAATCTTAGACAGTCTTTATCTGAGGCGGCGTGATCGCTGCCACAGTTTGCGCATTGCTTACGTGTGGCAGGATTGGTGCAGCGTGTTTTCGTATGCCCTAGTAGCTGACAGTTTTTGCAGCGCATGGGTGTTGGATAATATGGCGAAACTTTGACTTTGTACCAAGCAATATCAATGGCTTTGGGTAGGTGATAGAGGTCAAAAGATAGGACAATTTTGCCAGTGGGAACAACTTTGCCCTCAGTCATGCGAGTAAATTTGTATATGCTCGTTACACCTTGGCTTTTTAGTTCCTTCATAATTTCGTCCTCGTATACAAAGTTCAGGCAAGGCGCATAGATTACTCCTTTTACCGTGTTTAAATTGTCTTGGTATTTTACCATGACTGGACAAAGATTAGCAATCGTTTTTAGTTTTAAGAATTTCTCTGCTATTCTTGAGTTTCGTGTTAGTATGAGTAGTGATCCGTCTTTGAGTTGCTTTATGTTTTCAATTTCGGTTGAAATTGCGTCTATTGCTTTTTTGGGCTGGGCTGAGCGGTTACGTAGACCCGACTGTCTTGGGAACGAAAGTGGTTTGTGTGTAAAGATCTCCTGATGCGAAGGTGCACAAAAGCGAAAATATGACAGCGGGTTATTAGTATTGTTATTTTGCGAGCTAATAATACTTGTATGAACACACGTCCGAATAAGTTAAGAGTTAGTCGATGACTGTGGTGCTTTATATGATAGCCCACCCGAGTGAAAAGTTACTAAGTCCACTTCTTTTATTTTGCAGTTATTTTCTTCAAGCCTTTTACAAAACTTTTAATTCAGCATTTTGCTTATTGAAGGCAAAGCGAAACTCGATATGAATCAGAATGATTGGATGTTAATTAAACGGATTCATGCGCCTCTTTGGACATAGAAAATGTGTCTTCCATTGAATATTAACGGCAAGAAATAAAACAGATACCTTTATCCGTTAGGAAAAATGCATTTGTTTTTCTCTTGCTTCTTATATCGAAATATGAACTTCTGATTCACACTGTGCACATCTTCGAATTTTTTTTCATTTGTAGACAGCGCAGCCAACCAGAGCATGTTAGATGAAGCGCCAAACAACAATGGTGGTGGTGTCTCTAATAATGTAGCAATGGATTCTACTGTTAAGCGTGAACGTGATTGCCCTACAAACTCCACATCCGCGTCCACATCTATGATGCGACAAAATTCCAATGGTAGCGTTAAGTCGTGTACTAATACCGGTAATGCTTCCTCGCCCAATAATGGCAGTGATCATTCGGATAGCAGCAATATTTCATCAAGTATAACAAAAGCAATAGATAGTACATCCGATATCCTACAGGACCAAAATAATCCGGATAAAGTTGGAAATAAAAAGAAAACAAGCCTGAATAGTTTAACTGTAAAAGAAGAAGAAAATGGTATGTGGAGTTATTTGTTAGTTAAAAATTTTTGTATTGCTATCTGCTCAACACTCCATTTTACTAAAATCTGTATTCAACTATCTTTGTTACAGGTGTGAAGTCGTTAGATAAAAGTACTAATCTCCTTACGGCACCTTCAAGTAAGAATTTGCTTTGCACAACACCGACGATCAATTCTTTGTCTATTGTGAAAGACGAAACTGATGTTATGAATAATCTAATTAAAGTTAAAAAAGAAGAGGGCAACGTTTCACCAGAAATGTCACCGGCCGGTTTCGGTTCAATTGCAAACTTATCGGGCAGTAGCTCAGTGGAGGTGCGTTCCTGCACACCAGGTAAATTATTCACATTGAACTAGAGTGGTTTACAATTTTCTATTCTTTGACTAAATCTTTTCAAAATATTTCACAGTGAAACTGGATGATGTATCAAACACGAAGGCTATTAATAATAGTAATAATAATGGTACGAATTCGAATAGTAACAACGATAAACTAGCATCTGTATTAAGTTCTATAAATAACAATGGTCCCAGCGGATGTGCGGAAGATGTCCCTGTCCCGGTTTCTTCTCTTGCTAATGTATCTGGTGATGCTTGTATTGGCGGTACACATCATCCATCAGCGAATATGATAAATAACAGCAGTAATTCTGGTGGCTCAATTGCCAACTGCATGGAATATATGCAGCAGCAAAATCATATTTTTGTTTTTTCCACACAGTTAGCAAATAAGGGTGCCGAGTCGGTTTTAAGCGGACAGTTTCCAACAATAATAGCATACCACTGTACACAGCCGGCAACAAAAAACTTTCTTGAAGACTTCTTTATGAAAAATCCAATGAAAATATCTAAGCTACAGCGTCAAAATACGCTTAACTTATGTAACATATCAGTAGGTGCTGGCGGTCAGCAATGGATTGGTGGCTGCAATTCAGTACCAAAAATGTCACAGAAGCCCAATGGTAACAAAATTAACTTCACCGGCCTAAGTGGAAGTTTGGATAGTAAAGCATCTTTGCGGCAACCTAATATCACCAGCTTTCCCGATGTACCCGAAGCACTGGGTGGTAGTGAAAACGACTTAATGTGTTGGGAGCAATCTCGAAATAGTCTGGAAGGCGCTGCAAATGAAGGTCAAACTGGCATGAAAATACCTAACGGTGTAGACGGCATCATTGGAGGATCTCATGTTACTGGGGGATCTCATGCTGTTGGCAATAAGCCCCTTGGTGCACCCGATACAAACGTTGCAAACGATAATGGGACGCCATCATTGCAAGGCATCAAAGTGCCTGATGAGAATCTAACGCCACAACAACGACAGCATCGAGAAGAGCAGTTGGCAAAATTAAAGCAAATAGATCAATTTTTATCTAATCCACTACAGGGTACAAATCAGTTAAGCAAATTGGGTGCAGACAGTGTGCCGGGAAATCTTGCTGGCCTAATGCTAAATTTACCTAATTCAAGCCCAGCTGGCATGGTGTCGCAGATGATTAACCCGCTGAATCCCAATATGCGTAACATGCCGCCACATGTAATGAATTCCAGCAATCAAAACATATGCAACCCCGAAAATATGTCTACAGCATTAGCCGATGGAAATATGGTGTCTACGGATATAATGGGTACCCATGAAATGAACAACGTAAATAAATCAATGCAAAGTAACACTCAGCCGAACATCCAATGTGGATCCAATGGCGTTATTGGCGCGGTTTCTTCGAATGTAAGTGCTGGAAATATGCCTAGAAATTCACTATCATGTCATTCCGGTGGAAGCAATAGTGGTGGCGGAGCGGGAGGAAGTGGAAATATCAGCACTCCTGGCCTTATGCCGAATTCCCCTGAAATGATGAGCAACTTTATTGCAGATGGCAATTTAAATAGCAGTGTAGCTAAATTAATAGGTCCCGGCGGTATGCATCCTCAAGAAATTGGTCAAGTAGGAATGGCACAAATGGAATGGTCTAAGTTACAGCACCAGTTTTTCGAAGAACGTATTAAAAATAAGGGTCAAGGGGCAAACGATATCGGCTGTATGCCAGCAACACTCTGCCGCTCAAACTCTACCAGTATGGGAAATGCAAGCCTGAGAGCTAATATGCTAGGGACATGTGTATCCACAACTACAACAAATAGTAGTCAAACCATACGTTCAGCACAAGGTCCGCCCCCACCATATCACCCCACACAACGCTCGGCGTCTGTGCCCATTGCAACCCAATCTCCAAATCCAGCTAGCCCTAATAACCCGACCTCAAACTTATCTTTGCCGTCACCCCGAACATCAGGTGCACTTGGTATACCAGCGAACTCGCCAAATATGGATGTACATGTGTCTACGATGTCAACAACACTGGGGGTAACAACAACGACGTCAACCGTCACTACTGCCATATCAAATACAAACGCTCAAGGTAAAAACAATTTCCAACCTGAAGGTTCACCAACCACCAGTACCGCCAATACCAATAACAACACCACAAATAATAATCGGAGTCGCAACAATCAAATCAATCAATTCAACAGCAATCCAAGCACTCCATCACACTTGTCACCCAAAGATCTAGAGTCGTTTCATCCAAGCGCGCCAGCAGGTATGTAGATACGTTAAATGAGCAGCTACAATTAGGGAGTTCACAAGGTGTTGTATACTGTTCTATGTCATAAACTTTAAACGGCTAAATCTATATTTACGGAATTCGCAAGCTGACATAAAAGTTTTATTATGAAATTTCACACAATTAAAAAATAGTTGGTGGTGATTTCAAGTCCTCTAAACATTTATTTAGCCGTTAAAAACTTTACAACATACAACAATACGACAAGTACGACACCTTGTGAACCACCGAAATGTATTTCCACAGTCTGTGCACTTTTGTGAAGTAGTAAAATAACATAGCAGTCAACATGAAAGAGAATGGAGTGAAACCATCTCCATCTAAACACACCCTAGCTTGTTGCTGGTAGTTGGTTTCAGTACAGGAACAGGTTTTGCGGGCTGACTTCAAACACTGTACAAAATTATTTTGGGAACTTAAAGTAGTGTTTTGCAACAGTTTTGTTAAATACGGCAGCACCACAAGTTACATTACTAGAAGACATAGAGGCATCCTCTCTCCCACAGGGCCTCAAACAGTGGTCGGCGAATTACCTGAGTGGTCGACATTCGTCAGTAATTTTCAGAGACAAAATAAGCAAGCCACGTAAAATTAAACAGGGGGTACCTGTCCCCACTACTATTTAATTATTACATCTCTAAGCTTCCTCAACCACCAGAGGGTGTCAATATTGTCTCTTATGCTGACGATTGTGTGACCATGGCGTCTGGGAATGGAATTGATGACTTGTACTCGAAAACAAACGGTTATCTCGCCGAACTTTCTCGCTTTTTCACTGCAGGGAGCCTTGGCCTATCCCCTGCGAAATCCTCGGCAACCCTATTCACCACCTGGACAAGGAGGTCCGACTGCAACTGGGTATTCACGTTGATGGCGTAACAATACCGACGATGAATAACCCGAAAATCCACGGAGTTACCTTCGACCTTCGACAGTCTGCTTTCCTTCTCGGCGCATACAACCGCAATTGTCAATAAAGTACAGAGCAGCAAAATTGTCCTCAAGTCGCTGGCCGTCAGCACTTGGGGCAAAGATAAAGAAACGTTGTTGGCTACCTACAAGGCAATTGGCCGGCCGGTTTTAAACTATGGTCGCCTGGGACTAGCATGAAGCAGTGGATGAAGATACAGACCTGCCAAAACACGGCACTATGGACAACGACCGGATGCCTCCCAATCAAGGAGCATAACACAATAGAGGTGTCAGACTATCGATAGGCACACCACCATCGATAGTTTTGATAGTTTTCAGAAAAACTATCAATATTCACGATAGTCTCGAAAAAAACAAAACTATCGATAGCACTATCGATAGCGCTATCGACAACGCTAAATTAGTTAGGTAACTTTGTTTTTACAGGATCATAGTGAAATAAATATTATCTCATAAAAGTTATATTAATTCAAAATTATGTAACTGCATAGCCAAAATATTTCTCTTTTTAGAAAGCTCAAAAACAAACACAAGTTATACAAACAAAACAGGAATTACGCATAACACATGTATGTATGTTGGCCTAAATGAGTGCATATTTGAATATGACTAAAAAACAAAATTTTTAATTCAAATTAAAAAATGCAGGTATTACCAACAATAGTTCGATAGTCCTACTAAACTATCGATATTTTTGATAGTATAAAAAAAAACTATCAATGAGTATTGATAGTCTAAAAAAATGGAAACTATCGATATTATCGATAGTGCCATCGATAGTTTGACAACTCTATAACACAATGCTCTGCAAGCAGTTCCTTGTGGGGAGCCACAGACGTGGTCATCCCAGCAAACAGCTGCTTGCAGAAGAGCGCTCGCCAATGCACGTCAGGAGGCATATCTACCAACTGACGGACGTGGGTCAGTGATACGTCAGGCCGATCCCGGAGATCCCCGTATCAGGGATCTCAACGCGGAGATTCGGCAAATAGTGAACGTACATAAACGGAAGAAGTGGGAAGAGCATCTGAAGACCTGTAACTTCACCTCTGGTGTGAGTAAGCTTTGGTGAGGTCACTGTCCAATCCGACGAAGCACGACGACAGAGTCGAAATTTCTTTCGGCGACCATGCCTCGTCGGACCCGGAGCGATGCGAGAGCTGCTTTAGCCGGCAGTTCATACTGCAGCCTCCGGTGGACAAAACCAAGCGTCGAGTGACCAGAAGGCTGCACAAACTGCCAACAAATTGTGCTCTCCTTGCTTTCACCTGCGGTGTAGTTCAGGTGGACATCGGGAAGGCGAAAGCCTCCAAAGCCATGGGTCCCGGAGGAATATGCATGCTGATGCTGAAAAGTTTGGGTCCTGCGGGGGTAGCGTACCTAACGGAGGTCCTCAATTTGTCTAGATTCGTATCAACCTATAACACTCCTTTCCCCGGTAGCGAAGGCACTTGAGGCCCTGCTGCTCCCGTATTTCACGAACCACCTCACCCCAGCGAAGCATCAGCATGGTTTCCGTAAAGTGCACAGTACAACAACAGCACCCAACGCCATAAACACTCAGATAACTCGTGGCCTTAACCGTAACCGTCCCTGTGAGAGAACGATTCTAGTAGCGTTGGACCTGTCAAAGGCTTTTGACACTGTCAGCCATTCCACGCTACTAGAAGATATATGGGCTTCCTCTCTCCCACAGAGGCTCAAACGGTGGTCAGCAAATTATCTGAAAGGTCGACACTCGTTGGTAATGTTTAGAGACAAATCGAGCAAACTTAGAAAAATAAAACAGGGGGTTCCACAGGGTGGTGGCCTTTCCCCACCACCAGCCACAGATGTGGCCACCCAAACAGACAGCTGCTTGCAGAGGAGCCCTCGGCAAGGCACGTCAGGAGGCATCTATATGAACTGACGGACGAAGTCCAGAGGTGGGCGGGGTTGTTGTAGCCGCTACAACAACAACCAACTGACGGACGAAGTCCAGAGGTTCATTAAACAACCCCTGGACCCGTCAGCCTACCAACAGGCCCTGAACGGCATTCACAGGGAANTCAAACGGTGGTCAGCAAATTATCTGAAAGGTCGACACTCGTTGGTAATGTTTAGAGACAAATCGAGCAAACTTAGAAAAATAAAACAGGGGGTTCCACAGGGTGGTGGCCTTTCCCCACCACCAGCCACAGATGTGGCCACCCAAACAGACAGCTGCTTGCAGAGGAGCCCTCGGCAAGGCACGTCAGGAGGCATCTATATGAACTGACGGACGAAGTCCAGAGGTGGGCGGGGTTGTTGTAGCCGCTACAACAACAACCAACTGACGGACGAAGTCCAGAGGTTCATTAAACAACCCCTGGACCCGTCAGCCTACCAACAGGCCCTGAACGGCATTCACAGGGAATCACTCTCGAGTTATGTAGACTCCCGCTCTGTGAATGCCGTTCTGGGCACACAACCACCGGACGTGGACCATTATACATTATATATATACTATTAGACTCATCTTTCACTGTAGATTGTGATTCCTCCATGACTTTTAAAAATCTGACTTTTCTGTTTTTATTTTTTTAAGGCAAAAATAAAAGTTAAAATTTTCCTTTTATTTTTTTGATCAGGATTTAATCAAGCAGAAATAAAAGTCAAAGTTACAAATCAAGTATTGCAGAAGCTCCTATCTGGATTCTAATAACCCCCTAATACACAAATATCAGGGTTATTTCAAATCTAAATATGTATGTACTATGTATAAATACAATACATGAAGGCATTTTTTGTTAACGTCATCAGATCTGCACCGATTATTCGATTTTAAAAACTGAGGTTCCAAACTAAAGGGCTTGGCCTCTAAATGTACAGAAAGGTATGACTTTTTTGGAAGGTTTGCCGCCTTTTTATTATAAAACCTGCACCTTTCGTTGTATTCGAAAAAAATTATATGTCAAATCAAAAGGCTGGGTCGCTAGATGTGCGAGAAGCTTTAATTTTTGAAGTGAAACTTCTTTAGCGGCGGTTGGTTGGTTGCGAGTAAGTTGGCAAATTCAATGGAAATTGCACACGGAAATGGTGCAACGGAAATGGCTGGAGCTGAAACACATGCTTCTTGATGTATGCACGTAGTATTAATTTAACAAAAACTTGTTATAAAAGGTTAAAGAATAATACTTACAAAAAGACCAATACAAGAATGAAAGTAAAGGTGAGTAGTACATAGATAAAGAAAATAATAAAGGCAACTTTACCTTGAGGTAAAAATAAAAACAAAAACAAAGATGCGTAAAGATAAAGGCAAAAATCAAGACCAAGGTGAATTTAAACACTTTCCTTATATACGGCCAAAGGTGAAGGGAAATGTGTAGATGAAGAAAGCGATAAACATAAAAGTAAAAACAAAGATAAATATAAAAAAAGATGAGGATGAGGATATAGGAAGGAATATTAAAATAAAGCTAATTATTATAGAGAATAGGATATAGATAGAGATAGAGACACAGAGACTCAATATGGGAACTATTTTGGGATTTTCGAGATTTTCGGGGTTCTCGGGACCTATGGATATAACACTCGATATTTTTATCGGTTTTGTTATCGATATTTTTATAGATTTTGTTACCGAAATTTTTATCGATATTGGTATCGATTTTGCTATCGATATTTTCGGAACTTGTCGACTGATCGATAATTTTATCGATTTTGTTATCGATATTTTTATCGACTTTGTAATCGATATTTTAAACGATTTTGTTATCGATATTGTTATAGATTTTGTTATCGATATTTTTATCGAATTTGTTATCGATATTTGTGTCGATTTTGATATCGATATTGTTATCAATTATTTATCAATTTTGTTTTCAGTTGTGTACTCAGTACTCTGAAAAATACCCGATCCCTAAAAGTATCGATACTAAAGAACTCGATCCTCAAAAGTACTCGATACTTCCCAACACTAATATGCAATACAAATGGGCTTGGTCTATAGATCTGCAAGGAAGAAGCTCTTATTTTTTTAAAAGGGTTGCCACCAGATGAGTGTACGTAACCAATAGTTA